AGAAATGGAAACACTGGTTCCAGTGGAATTTGCTTGGGAAGAGTATGTCTTGAAAATGCTAAATGGTACAGAAAACATCACGTAATTTAAAATCAAGTCAACCAGGTTCTAAGAAAAAAGACATGCTGATAGGTCTTAATACATAAAACTAATCGATTAGTAGTAGCATGCTTTATATTATCAATGAATGTAGAGGCAATTTACAACAAATTTATGAGCATTTCAAAGTTTAATTTACTGCCTTAATCAACCTCTTAACTACACTGTAATAAAATCAGTCATATTAAAAAAAAAATTTTTAGTTAAGGTTCCACTTCATTAGTCTCCTACTGGTATTTTATAAAAACATGAAGGTGTGGAATCCAAGGCCATCCATTAAAAAAAAAGCAATCACATTATTCCTTGTCTCAAGTATTTATTCAAAGCAGTTTCCATGACATGTTAAATGTCACATTTAGGTACTGGCAGTAACCAACCTACCAAGTTCTGTCCCAACACTTGTTTTTCTAAGAGAAATTTTGAAAAGGTCAGAATAATCTTGATCTCAAATTCTAGAATGCAAAAGGAATACTGCTATCTGATACAAAATAAGATATATACAAATTAACCTTGAAGTAGATTCTCTTCCCAACATCAAGGGAGTTGTTTCCCCAAACAGAAACCTATAACCTCTATTATCACTAAAGAATTAGTGCCTATCTGTCTTATTTAAATGAAGACTTTTAACAGATTTGGACTGTTACAAGAACACCTAATTCCTCTGAAGAATTCACCATTTTTAAATAGTACAGTAATTTTGTTAAAATCCTTTTCCCATTCCCTTGTTACATCCATCATCCCAAATTTTCAGCCTTTACAGGACTTACTGGTGAAAACTCACCAACATTTAGTAGTCAGGATCTGCGCTAAATTATAGYCTACCAGGTTCCACATTCTTTACCTAAGTCCACCCATGAGAGGCTGCTATAACCACATAAATTCTCGAGATCTTAAAGGGGTGCTAAAGTCAAAYATATAACCAGCTCAATTCAAGACAACAGCAAGTCAATTTCAGTTACTGGTTACCCATTTGTAATGCAATGGATGACTAAGATCAGTGACAAACCAAAGGTACAAAGAATCAAGATACAGAAGATACAGAGAAGGCAAGTACATTGCCTGTAAAGAATAATAAAACAAAAATTAACCCAAGTTCTCAAAGCTATAGCAACCCACCACCTCTCTTGCACCACTCAGTAAGCCACCTGATACACTCATTAGAATGCTAACAATCTTGGGTGATGTTCATGCTAGACCATGATTAAAATGCTGACTGGTGTAACTATCAAACGTGTGCCCTTGTCTTTCTACAGGAGGTAAAAGTAAAAACTCAAAAGCTTATGAAACAAACTGTTAACTCTCCCCATCTTAACATTAGGGTAGCTAAGATAACTTGRAATATGTAAAAACAATCCCAGTCAACACCAATAACAATTGATTAACTCTAATACAAAGGACCTTCAGGCCTCTTTGAAATGCCAACCAGATCATAATCAATCTTTCCCCAGTTTACCAGATTATAGGCAACTGAGAATTAAAGGCGAGGTAAATGAAGTTTGCACGACGAGATATTTATCATGCTATGATCATTTTACTCATGGAACTTCAAGACTATGCTAAACCACAATAGCTTAAACGTGACTGGTAATGAATGATATTACGTTCTCAACTTTTTTTTTAAGTAGTTTAAAAATAATCACATTTAATGAATAATTTAGGGTAATTCTTCAGTTATCACACTGACCAAATAAATTTTCTTCACTGAGATTGTGCATTTCAACAGTATCAAGTTGAACTAACCTCAAACCTAATAAACTCATACATATCAGGATCAACAAAGATACTGTAGTAGATGGTGGATTTAGTCCTTGTTGTTTACAAAATTCCTAATACCTTAAAACCCTAAACAAACAAAGCAGTCCCCAAAATAAACCCAAGCAATAAAATAAAAGCACATAAACTGAATTTCTAATATACAGGATGCAAAGGCCTAAAACTGGATCTTAATGTAGTTGAGACTATCTCAGTGTAAACTGGCACCTGAACAGATGTTCCACCTACAGTGGACTAGAACTCAGGCACCACAAAGTACAATGAAAAACTACCATCAAAACGTGGAAAATAATAATATAGTTTAAGTCTTGCAACCTTATAATACACACTGAAGTTTAAGAAAGGAATAAAAAGACACAGAACCCCAGGAAGAGAAATGAACTCACCTCGTAGTAGATACCTAGTAAACCAAAAGGGATCAAAATTTGATTCAGGACCAGTCCCTGAAAACTTCATTACCTGAAAATGTAGTTGGTAGTTTCAAGTGGATCAAGCAAGAATTGAAATCAAAGCTACATAACAGTTCATTAATATAACAGGATGGTTCTATAATCATCTAGCCAACTACTTGTGAATGTTGTTGGCCAAATTCTAGAAAGATACTGAGCTAATACTTTTAATTTATCTGCTGCTGTTTGCCTAAATCTTTTTACCAACCACCCCAAACTCAAACACCCTTCTGAAAACCTACTAAAACCTAGCAATTTCAAAGAAAAGGTTACAGGAAAGACATTTAAAAACATGCAAAGCCTATTAACAAATGCTGAATAAATGCTGAATATTCTCAGCAGTGAAGACATGTCTCAGAAAACAAGGAACAGAATTCAAGCAGGGGTCAATAAATGGCAGCCCAAGTACCAGTACAAATATAGGTAAAAGAGGCATAACCAGAGTTGGTTAAATATCTAACAATCTTGATGATCCTCAGTATTGCCAGACAACTGATTCCTCCATACTCAAGAAATTTAATCTCAGAACCAGGTGAGAGCGCATTTTTTGGACTGAGTAAGCAGTGATGAAATGGGGATCCCTCAGCCTTCCCCTGTAACCCGAGGATCAGAATACTGGCGTCAGACAGGATAGAAGACTTCTCTGTTGAGCCTGACTAGCTAGAGAAAACAAAGGATATTTCTAGGGGTTCTTCAATAATCACTATAAATGCAGATCGCTCAGTGAGCAATAAACCTTGCCGAGTTCACAAGCTCTCCTCCAACCAAATGTTCAAAACATCCAATTAGTTTAAGTGCTCCACTTCTGTGAGCCTCAAATCACCAAATATCTGAGAAAAATCCCTAACTAGAAGAAGCCAAAGCAACAGAAAAAACAAAGCATCTTGGAGTAAACTCTTAAATATTAAGTATCACTGATAAACTGACAGATGGGAGGGGTACAAGAAATGACTGACATTTTTWAAGGTTGAAAGATTAAAACATAGAAGTTGCTCATTAGAGTGTGAAATGGAAGGGAGAAAGATGCTCAATAACAAGAATTCCAGGGACAAAAGACTGGGGTGGTTAATCAATTCSTTAACATGCCAGAACTGAAGAGCAAGTTTATAGAACTAAAGATCCAATGAGTGCCCACGATGGATAAATAAACTCAAGACAGTCATGAAATTTAAGAACACTAGTGATTTAAAAAAAAAAAATCTGTAGTGATTAGTAAAAATATTTAACATGTAAGCTCAAGACTCAAAAGTAATATCAAACCTTTGATTCTCTATCCTGTCATACCAGTTATCTAGTTAGGATATATAAACAGGAAGGTTTCAAAGCTATCTGAATTTGTGTTGCACCAAAACAAGCACTTAATCTAGGAAAAAAATCTAAAGTGAAAGGCAAAGGGAACACGAGAATGACAGCAAAGCCCCAAATAGTTACTAAACAATTAGAGGGCAACCAGTCCAGACCACAGTATGGAAAACCATCAAGCAAAACATGAAAATGYTAATTATCAAATGGATTTGTACCAAGAAAAATCTTTTGATGGTTAATTTGAGAGAGAGTAAGTGCCTGATGAACAGAAAAATGCTTATTAAAGTCAAGATACACCTAATTGGATCTTAAAAGAGGACTAAAGTAAACAAAACAGTATAAATACCAAATTGATTTGTTTTTCCACAATCCTATGTGCAAGCGCAACTTTTATAGCCAGGAGAATAACCTCTAAAATTTAAACATGAAAGTAACAGGGTCAAACAAATCTGAGTACAGGTGTTAAGTTTTTCTCATTTTCTACTGATGAATTGTGCCAAAATATGGGGCTTATAAATATTTTAACCAAGAAACAAAATTAATCTTGTAGCATTTCATCACCTATAYTAAACTTATTTTAAATCCAATCTGAAATCTGTTATGGTTTTTTAGGGGAGCAGAACTGGGGATTGAACCCAAGTCCTCACAACATGCTAAGCAATCAGTCTACCACTGAGCTGCATCCCCAGCCCAATCTTTTTAGAAGACTTTGATTACAGATTAAGTCCTTATTTCTTATTTAATAAAAAACAAGCATACTGCTTCTAGAAAATAAAAYAGTGGCCTAACAACTCCAACACAAACTCTTTCCAGAGGTCAACAATTTTTTTCTGTAAAAGGCCAGAAAACAAGTATTTTACGCTTTCCAGGTTTGTTAAAAAAACTACTCAACTCTGCCATGTAGCACAAAAGCAGCCATACACAAATGTGTAAATAAATGAGCATAGCTGTGCTATAAATTTTTCAAAATAGGCTTTCGGTAGGTCCCCAGTTTAGTTATCATGAAATTTAACTTAATGATACTTATTTTTGCTCATCAATATGTGCCGAATAATTAAACTTCACACACAAAAAGGTTGTTCAGCCACATCACTCCAGTACCAATAGGACAYCATTTTCATGTTATCTTCTAGTCAACTATTCTCAAGTCTGTTTTGAATAAGCTGACTCATCAGTCTTAAATGATCACTCAGGAATGAATGTGTACTAATACTCACTGTAGTAAGTAACCACAAAAAACTTTACATCCAAGCTGATGGGTATCAATTCCCTGAATGCTAATAACACACCAAGAACCTTACAACCCAGTCTTACCAATGCTTACAATTTTACAAATAAAACACTACAGGAAAAACTACTCTGACTTAATCCTAG